AAAACTTAATATTTAAAATGTAGTGATCATGTGTTATTTTTTAATTTCGTGACCGATGGAATCTTTTATTAGTTAGTTGGTTTGAATCAATATATAACAAATTTTGTTGCCAATCGTTATTAGAGTTTTTTAATTAATTTGCGTAAATACATAAATAAAAAGAGACCTAAACTATGAAATTTTTTTCATCTTTTGAAATCAAATAAATGACAAACACTATTTTTTAAAATAAATAATGATAATGATTATAAATTGTATTATCAAAACCGATAAGGTATATAAATTTGTTTTCCTTTTCAAATCGATAATGAAGAAAAAAGTCTAATTGGGAAAAAGATGATATATACAAATCATGATTTTAGAAATCTGATATATACAAATCTTAGCATGCGGTTTCAAACAATTTAATAATATAATAATAGGCTGAATGAATTATGATTCAGATTCATGCAGAAAAAATTTTGAACAGATTTCTAAAATCATGATATATACAAATCATGATTTTCCTTGGAGATTTATTCGGATTTCCAAATTGTTTGGAAATCACGATTTTTAAAATTATGATTTATTCGGATTTACATTCGGATTTCCAAATTGTTTGGAAAAATAGGAGATTTAATCGGATTTTGATTCCTCATTGGTTACTAATATAAAAGTATTTGATATTATTAATAAAAAAAGGGAAAAAGTTGATTTACTATTTTTAGGAGATAATTAATGAAAGTGGCGAGAAATTATTTCTAAATTTGATTTATGTTAATCCTTATTATATAGGATTAACATATATGTTACTTTCACGTAAATACTAATATATATATATATATATATATATATATATATAAATTATTTCTAACAATTATTAGAATTATGATTGATTTTTAAAAAGAATCTTTAGTTGACAATATTAATTATATGTTTTATATTGTATTTTAAAAAATTTTAAAATACGTATGGTAAGTGTATTTCTTAAATTAAGTGTATTAAGTATGGTAAGTATATTTCTTAGATTTATTTGATTTTGATTCCATATTTTGATTGTATTCCTAAAAAAATTGGATAAAAAAGGTATGCTAATAAATAGAGATTTTGTTAATTTACTATTTTTAGGAAATAATTAATGAAATTGGCGAGAAAGTGTTTCTAAAAGTGAATTATGTTAATTCTTATTATATATTAATAGATTGTGTATTTACACGTTACACGTATCATGTAATAAATACACATTGGACATGTGTCGGTACATAAAGTTATTTACAAATGGTGTATTGACACGTAACTTTTAAGCAAAATAACCAAACCATTTGATAAGTCACATTAAAAGTGCATCAAACTTTTGATTGTAAATTCAACTAGTACTATATACCCATGTACAACATGGGTGTTGAATTAATGAATATATGTGTAAAGTTATAATACTAAACCTAACTCCAGAGCAAAAATAATATAAAAACAACATCACGAAGCATAGATTTTTGCCATGTCAGTATCCGAAGCGTGAGAATATGTCACCTAGGCTCAACACGTTTTGAATTAATATATAGGGAGGGATGTCTGTACAAGTGAAAGAATGTTCATATACAATTGCTTGAAACTCTCCAGATTTTCATGACAATTCAGTCCAAGTGCTATATAAGTTTCAAGAACTCATCTTTTAGTTGCACATTTATCGACAAGCTTTCTTGTTCTTCTTACATCACGAATCGAACCCTATCGAATATAAATCGAGTTGCTTTCGAGTAATGGGAATGTAAGTATGTAATAACCCTATTGTCTCTTAAACTATGACATACGACCATAAATCGCCAAAAGAAACTTTTTTATACGTTTGTTCTGTGATGAAATAGCTTCGTTATTGCTCTTCTCTCACAATCCTGAAAGAATAAGACATTTATCGAATTAGTAAGAAGATATTTGTTCAGAAAATGCAAACATTTTGGTGGGGTGATTGTTAAATCGGACGAAAAAACTGACCTTGAACATATGTAGATGAAATTTTTTATCCGGGTTTATCCTCGTCAACTTCAAATATGTATACGCGAAGCTCAGCTGATCACGTGAAGTGAATCTGTCGACCTCGTTGAACCAAAGGCACGAAAATAGGTTCGAAATGGCCGTATGAGCCCTGACAATAAACGAGCCTTCAGGTACAACTACATAAAAACAGAAGCCAAAAAATTAATTTTACATTGATTTTTATTGAAAAGCTGCCAGAAAAAGAAGTAAATGAAAGGAACTGGTCGTAAAAAAAAAAAAAAATAAATAAAAAAAAATGAAGCCACAAGCGTCACTCACAACTGGGCAGACGATCTTTCGGGTCAGACGACTCGTACTTCGTGAGACCGTCAGACTGATAAAATCGGAACTGTTCGTCAATAGCAGAGTGATTGTACTTATTCAGACGCTTATTTTGGAGTACCTCTTCCCATACACAGTGCCGAGTATAATGATTCGAAATGGCATATTCTGAACGGGCTCGCCACAGAAAGTACTCGATTATCAGCATGGGGTCTGCATTTAGTCGCAATTTACTGTCGAGCCAAATAGAATACCTATCAATGGGAAAAAAAATGAAGTTTTTCACTAACTTTTTCGACAAAAGTAAACTTAATTCAGTATTTGTTTTGAGTATATTACCTAGAAGAAGGAAAAAGCCGATGGGACAAAAATTTAGGCACTTTTCCGGTTTTACGTAAATCTTTATATGGTAAGTTCTTCACAACAATTATCTTCCATAACCCAATATTTCCACTGTCATCTGGGGCATTTCCTTCGGCTGATAGTTTAGCTAAACTTTGCTCATCGACAAACATAGCGAAACATACATTTTTCTTGGAGAACTCACTGATCTGTTATAAGTGTTGAGTCAATCTCAGAATTAAGTACATATAGAAAATAGCTCATAGAATGCTTTGATGATAGCTTATTGTATTATAATTTTTTAGTCTAATACATTATCTTTATGAAAATAAAAAAGAAGTGGAATATTTTTTTCATGTAGAACCGTAAAAATTCAAAACGGGCGTGATACAATAGTTATAGCAAAACTGTTTGAAATATATATATATATATATATATATATATATATATAAAAGGCAAAATTGCATATAAAGGCACCACCTTTGATGTTTTTTGCAATTTAATCACCATCATCTGTTGCTATCCGCGTTTAAATCACCAACTTCTATATGTTTTGCAGAACGAAGCATAACATTAACAGCTTCAATCCAATAGAAGTTAAATTTATGCTTCGATCTGCAAAAAACCATATGTGGTGATTTAAACGCAAATAGCAAAAGGTGATGATTAAATTGCAAAATCCTTAAAGGTTGTGTATTTATATGCAATTTTGCCATTAATATATATAATTATTACCACTTTGCTAGTTGGGCGCCTCAAAAAATCCGAGCTTCCAAAGATGCACGATGATACAACTACCTTACACGTATTCATATATTCTCTATCCTTCTCATCCAAATCAAATCCACTGCTCAAAGCTACATTAGAATTGTTCACAAAACCACAATGGATTGTTTGATCTGTCGCGTGGTACGACTTTTCTCTATCCTCAAGTGTCTGATGTCCTCCAAAACGAACTTCTGTCGTTTCATTTGGGTGGGCCCACTCTTCTCTTTTAACATATCCCAAGGAGAAATGAGCAAACTTAGCATTATCCTCAGGCTCAAGGATATAATTAACAGAATCAAGAAATGGTACCTCGCAAGGGAAAAAACCTGAAAAAACGGAATTGAGGTGAAATTATTACGCCCAAACGCGTTTCGCATGGTTAGTTTCAAGAAAGTACACTTTTTTTACATGTGTTTGTTGTTTTAACATCGATGAGGAAAAGTAAAGAAATCTTACGCGGCCTACGAGGCTTTCGTGGTTGCTGTGCTACACGACTCGAGTTAAATTTCCCTTTGAAATCTTGCAAAGATACAGTGCCTTCAATGATTATACACGGAGAAAAAATAAAATGCTAAGCAGATTGAAACTTAATATAGGCAGATAGAAGCAAACCACAAAATTCACAAACAAATTAAAACGACACAAAATTACTCGGAGGCAGATTTCCTTTCAAAATTCTACTAAAATCATGTTACGAAGGCTAAAACTATAAAATAACTTCGAATCATGTTACTTTTTTACTTCAAGACCAACCTCTAAGATTTAAACAATATATAACTTCTCAACTTCAAGAAAAGCATCAACTTAGTAGGAACTAGGAAATTTAAAAAAAAAAAAAAAAAAAAAAAAAAAAAAAAAAAAAAGAAAGAAAAAAGAAGAAAAAAACTACATGGATAGATGTGGGCAATATCACTAAAGATTATTTATATACTAACTATCAAACACACAATCACTCATCACTGCAAAACAATAATAACTCACCGTGAAAATGCATCTTTACTCCAAAATACCCAAAACATATCAAGAATGCCAAAGCAAGTGACAACAGACAAAACAACAATCTCTGAGTAGAAACTCGACCAAACCTCCTCGCCCGTCGAGGGGCCCACAAATGTTTCTCACTCATTCTGCTACTTATTCACCACCACAGCTAATCGCCCTCCTTTCAGATGACAACACACTGTCTTTTACATAAGCCATCGAGAACCAGCTCATCTGCAAGATTTGAATACTTGTGGTTACATTATCGATCAAGACTAAGCTCAATATATATAGCAAGTATGAATTAAACCCATAAAATGAGAAATTTTATCCACTTAAAACCAACTAATATGGAAAAGAATCAAATTTCTAGGCTCTACCCACAAACCCCCAAAAAACCAACTCTTTCTCTATAAGGCCATTATATGAATATGATAGAATTCGTACTAAAGTTCATCAGCACCAAGATTTTGTTCATTTAAAGCTGGGACCATCTTCGAATCCTCCATCTTTCATTCAAATGGCAGCTTAAGAACATGTTACGGACACGAAAAAACTGAACTTTCAGCTATTATCACCCTCAAAAGATGCTTAAAACAAAAGGGACAACATTAAATTTCAGACAAGAACTACATTTTTCATCGTAATCTTCAACTGGCAGCTAAACTAACCATCTTCACGCAATAGAAACGAATCAAGAAAAGGCAAAAATGGCGGAATAATCTTTCGCAGATTACTGATACGCCTTTATCAGAAATCAATCAACAGAACAGAAGAAGGGACGATCACTGAGCAATGGAGCAAACAAATTTGATGCGAGAAAATTTTTGCTCTGCAGCCATAGAACATTGAATATACAACAGAAATTTGAGGAAACCGACACTTTTTACCTCATTGGGCCGACGATTTCAGGTAAAGGTAAACGAGCCCATGGAAGAAGAACAGATCTGTCTGTAAATTTCTTCGTGGAAGTTGCATTTTTGCCCCTCAAAGTAGCAATAATTTTAGTTTGCCCCCTTATCTCTTACATCAAGCCATTTGCTGATTTTTCCATGAAAAAGGGAAAAAGAAGTAAAACCATATACTTGCTAAAGTTCTAGGTCGAGTACGTATGGATTTTTTGAGAATGTGTCTCTGGCCCTTTAGAATACGGGTGATCTCGAACTTTTATCGAGTCAAGTCGTGCTTGATTCATTAACTAAATGAACTCAGTTCGACTCGTTTATTAATATGACTTTCAAAGTCCAAATTTAATGAATAAAAACTATAGCCTTCACGAGCCAAGTTATTAAAATTTGTTTGAGATTTAACCAAACAAGTAGGACTAGACTCATTGACTCAACGAGCCTTAAAGTTAAGTTCGAATTTAATTAAGGGTTGTATTAATGTGACATTTCTACACGCTATTTAAGATTTTAGAAATACTAGTGTATTTTACGTAGGGGATGTATGAATTGTTGATTGACATTTTGAGACTTTTTTTAGGTGTAAGACTTTAAGATTTTCAATATTATGAGTAATCATGTAAAATTGTAAGGGGGTGTTTCCGTTTGGGACTTTTAGTGACATTTTGAGACCTTTTTATATTTGAGAATTTTTAAAATTTTTCAGAAGGAAGAATCCTATAAAATCTTAAATTTGGAGGTGAGATTTGTGATGAGATATCATATATGTTTTTCTTTTAAAAATTCATAAATTTAAAAAATTCTTAACAAATCATAATCTCAAATAAGTTATATACTATTTGTCATGTTTTTGTTGTTGTTTTCGTTATTCTTCTGCTATTCTTTTGCCCTGTTTTGGGTCTTCTCTTAGGTTTTTCAGTCTTTGTTGCTAGTTGTTATAGGTTTTATGTTTTTTGTTTGTTTTGTCTTTCTTCGTGTGTTTTTCTTTGTTTTTGTTTGAAGGTGAGGGTTTTATTCGAGCTATGATCACCATGTGTCGATGCGCATTTCTCGAGCCGTTCTTTCGAGAGTTTTAGCCTACGTTGTTCCCTCAACATCCCTCGACCCACAGAAAATCCACGACCCGTGGAATGTAATTTTCAGGCCTTGCGGCTCACGGAAGTAACAAAGTCCTCACACCTGCCAGACCCGCAGAACTAACAGAGACCTAGGGTGCCAAGTAATTCGCTACCCGCAAAGGTCGCGATCAACGTTTTAAAATTCTAAACTGCTTTTCGACTCTTATTTAGTGGGATTCATGCTCAACTCTAGAAATTCATTCCATGACTTGCTTTTTTTTTTTTTTAGTTTTTTTCTCATTTAAATATTATTGTGCATTGGTTTTAATATTGGAAAGTGACAGTCAAAGGATCGTTGTGGATTTCGTTCGCTTGTAATCATAGATTGGCACTTGACTCCATATCAATCATAAGCTTTTCTTTTCATTTTGTCTTGCATGTGATGTCTTTGTTTGATATGATATCTTATAGTGATTTCGGTATGAGTAGCTAAATTCATTCGCTAGGGATAGAAGATGAGGTTACATTTTTTGTGTTCATCGTGCTATTCTGAATTGTTCAATCTATGCGAATTATGTTTTACCTATGTTTAGATTATTGATCACTTTCTAATCCATTTAAACAAACAACTTTTAGAGTCGAAAGAGGAGGAGCCGTTCGACCTTGGCTCATATAGAGTAGGTTTGTTCGTAATTGCATTGTCTATGTGTTGCTTGGTTTGATTGATTTGTCTATGTTTATTCTATTGTTTTTTTTATCGGTTGTTTATCCTCTTGTTAAGAATAGTTATTGAGCTATAATTTGAAATAATAATATGACTTAATTTGCAATGCTGTAAAATATGTGAGTAGTATTGAAAAGTTGTAAAAAATTATGTAAAAGAAAATATTATGATAATATTTTTTGAGGTTTGAGGGAGATAAATTACTTAAATAAACATTTACAGCAAAATGGATATGATAATGACTATTTTGTTTGTTCGGATAAAAAAAACAAACAATATGGATAAATATATTTTTTTTTTCACTACAATAAACGGAGGCCTAGGTCTGACGGACAGTAAAACAGAACGCGACGGAGTAAGCACCCGAATAAGATCATGTTCAATCCACTTGCCAACGGACGTGGTGGGACATGAAGATGGTGCACCCCTAAAGGTTCGGACGCCGCTATAGAAGCCAGATGATCCGCGGTGAAATTCGCTTCCAGAAACACCCGATCCAATTGCACTGACAAAATGCGATCCCGTAATTCTCGTATGGCCCGAAAAAGACTATTATGGATCCCACCCACATCCTCTCACGGCCATGCGAATCGCGAACCAACCCTCCCGCACATCCGCAACCCGTATTGATGAAAATGCTCCATCAACAAGATTCAGACTGCAGGACTAGAGAGCCAAGTTTCGTATAGCCGCCGGCCCGCTGATATACACCCCCTCCACCACCACGTTGCCTTATATCACTAATTTTAGCATCCACTCGCCATGAAGCTTCATAAAAAATAGCCGCATTACACAATCATATTTTCATTTATATTTATTAGAATACAAAATTTAAATGTAAAAAAGTTGTATATTTAATTATTTACAAAAAAAATATATATAGATGTTGTAACGAGACCGCAAAGTATTTCAAAAGTCAATAATGGCATGCCACTCTGTTTTGCTTCAAACTCTTCCAGAAATTCTTTACCAATTCAAAAAATTAAATTATTATCGCAACACACCTCCATTACAGCATTACTGATTTCACCCTCCAAACCCAATTTGATCCCCACCTTCTTCATCTGATTCTAGGGTTTGTTGTTCGTCTTTTTTTACTCTTTTTTTCCCCCTTTTCCCTATTCAAGATTCAATTTTTATCCCAACGCAAACCCTCGAATTGCTCTGAAAATTACTAGGGGATGTTGAGCTTGAATTTGTCGGACGAGCTGCTGGGGACCGTGGCGCCGATAATCGTGTACTGGGCTTATTCGGGCTTGTACGTTTTGCTGGGCTCGCTCGATAACTACAGGCTTCACTCGAGGAAAGATGAAGATGAGAAGAATTTGGTGTTAAAGAGAGATGTGATCAAGGGCGTGCTCCTCCAGCAGGCGGTTCAGGCTGTTGTGGCCACAATCCTCTTTGCTGTGAGTTTTTTTAATTTTCGGGAACTCGATTTTTCGGTATTTGCAAAGCTGACTTTTTTTGTGCTCTGTGGATGCATTTGTGTGTTTTTTTTGCAAAAAAATTGCTGAGATTGGCCTGCGTATGGATTTTTGTAATCTGAAATGTGTGTGTGTGTGTGTGTGTGTGTGTGCAAAGTGTGTGTTGGTTTTAGTTTATTTGTGTGTGTTTTTGCTAAATTTGCATGATTAGAATGTAGTGTCTATGTGGAAGTTCTATAATTTGATGTCAAATGTATGTGATCTATAATTCTATGTTTTCAGGCACCATGAACTCTATTTAGAATTACATCTCAAGTGATTTTTTCAAGATGCATAAGGTTTTTTTCGCTTCGGTTATCTGATCTTGAAATCGCTATTGAAGTAGTTGTGGGTTTTAGAAGTTATACTAAGTAGATTATGAGATTTTAGCTGGAAAGACCTTGCGTTCGTTCGTGCTTAATAATTAGAACATAAGAACTTCTTGTTGATGATTTTTGTCCATTTATCAGTTTCTATGCAATTCTAAATCTAGCTGACAACAAGAATGCATCAAATGCCTAACCTGTTGTGGCGAATCACTTTTAACTTTTTTAATACTCTGAAATGACAATTAATGTTCGCCGAAAGCTTGGGATGCTTTCGCGCAATGAATTGGGCAAAATAATTGACAACTCTATGATCTCTGTATGTAATCTGTATGTAATATCTGCCTGCTTTGGATGTTAACACGTGTCGATTGAAAGCGTGATTTGTAGTTCCACTCACTGAGCGTATTTTTTTTCCTGCCGAGTCATTATTTTTAGCTCTTATTGCAGTTGTAGAAGCTTTTAGATATTTGTTCTAGTATTTGTTCAACTCGTTTTTTTTTTTTTTTTTATCTCATCATGTTGATTTTTGTTTTATAGTTGCATAAGCAATATGATTAACCATTCATTCATATGTGACATAACCAACTTGTCATGCTGTAAGTCGATTTGGCAAACCGTAATATTGATTTAAATGATGGTGTTTTTATAATGATTACTCTTATATTGCAATCTAGATCCTTAAGGTAACGTTTCTTACGGGTTTTTGAATGGGACAAGGGATGCAAACGAGTCGAGTCGAGTCGAGCATTGGCTTTATTGAGCAAGATTGATTTTTTCTTTTAACTGCTCGAGCTCGTCGAGCTCAATTTATGACGCTCGAGATCGACTCAACAAAAGAAGACGATCACTATGGCTGGAGATCGATCGAAATCAAGATGCTCGAAAGATTGCTCAAGCTCGGCTCTAAGTTCGACTCAAATTTCAAGTAAAATTATCATTAAGTACATATTATAAAGGGTATTTTAGTAATTTACTACATCTCTCAGCAGCTCGACCATCCAAAACCTATGCTCGATATCGACTCGATAACATGATCGAGCTCGACTCGAGTTCGGTCAAACTCAAGCTCAAGCCGAGCTTTGACTCGAGTGCTCGCGAGCAGCTCGGTTCCTTTGCAGCCCTACCCAAAGAATATTATGGTGGTCGCTAATCTTCATTCAACCTACAAAAAACATCACAAACAAACTATGAATGTCGTAAAGTTGGGAAAAAAGAAAAAATCGCGACAACTTACCAATTTTTCATTATGATATTCCGAATATTTTACGAAAATAACTCGCCTAATTACGTAAAGATGAACTAACACTTTCCCACCGTTTTTCAGGTCACGAGCATCGACTCAAACTCAAACGCCGCCACACAATCACACAAACCGGCTTCTTCCCTACTTGTGCTCGCTCGGCAATTCCTCGTGGCCATGCTAGCGTTCGACACGTGGCAGTACTTCATGCATCGATACATGCACCACAACAAATTCCTCTACCGACACATCCACTCCCAACACCACCGTCTATTAGTGCCTTACGCTTTCGGAGCACTCTACAACCACCCGATTGAAGGCCTCCTCCTCGACACGTGCGGTGGGGCCCTCGCCTTTCTTCTCTCCGGAATGTCCCCACGCGCTTCTATTTTCTTCTTCTCGTTTGCGACCTTGAAAACCGTGGACGATCACTGTGGGCTGTGGCTGCCCGGGAACTTTTTCCACTTCCTCTTTAGAAATAACTCGGCTTATCACGATGTTCACCACCAGCTGTACGGGAACAAGTACAATTTTTCGCAGCCGTTTTTCGTGATGTGGGACCGTATGCTCGGGACTTACATGCCTTACTCGCTCGAGAGGAGAGGTAATGGGGGGTTCGAGGCCCGGCCCACTAAGGACTTCACGAGGAAGATCGATTGAGGGTTTTTT